ACAGATTAGGTGCCAGAGGGAGGATCTGGAAAGTGATAGCATGTGAGGGAGACATGGGCTCTACTCTCTGGAGATGTGGAATTGAGAGCAGGGCACCGAGAATGGTATGGACGAATCCCTCAAAACTGTACAGACAATCCCTGGATTCTGTGTTCAAGTTTCCTCAGAGTTTCCAAAGAGCCTATGCCATGCAAATGTTCACAATTACAGCTATAATACATTTTGTGTATGTGGGTCTCTGAAGAGTCTGAAACTTTTCTTCTCCTCTTTGTCCAAAATTGCTCTGAACTTGATTTTTCTACCTCTTGCTCCCCACACCGAGGGAGCAAAGAAACAAACTGCTGCTCAGTGTTTAATAGAAGGTCACTCTTACCTTTATTTTCCCGAGACATCGAATTCCATACAGTTGCTTTGATCCTCACGTTCACAGTGCCTTTACCTTCTCTGCCAAACTGCAATTTGTAGAACATCCCAGTTGGGAGTGATCTCAGAGACCACATTTCCGAGCTACATACTTTATTTGTTGTAGTAAAACAATTCAAAACCCTTAGTAATGTACTGGAGGACACATGCAGGTGGGACTCTAAGTTACTGCTTTTTCTATTCTATCCCTGCACTTAACCTCATTTTTTAATTGTCCAACTAGAGTTGACATTCAATATTAGTTTATATTAGTTTCAGGTTTTAGTGTTTAGCATAGTGGTTAGATATTTATATCATTTAGGAAGTTTTCACCCCTGATAATTCTGATAACCCACCTGGCACTATAAATAGTTATTACAATATTATTGACTATATTTCCTATGCTGTACTTTAGATTCCTATTGACTACTTTGTAACTACTGATTAGTATTATTCATTTCACCTCTTTCATCCATCTCCCAACCCACCTGCAGTGTGGCAGCCATCAGTCTATTCTCTGTAGCTATGGGTCTGTTTAGTTTATTCTTTACACTCCATATAGAAGTGAAATCTATTGTTTTTATCTTTCTTTGTCTGACTTATTCACTTAGCATAATACTCTTGAGGTCCATCCACATTGTTGCAAATGGTAAGATTTCATTATTTTTCATAGCCAAGTAATACTCTAGTGTGTGTGTGTGTGTATATATATATATATATATATATATATATATATATATATACACACACACACTATCAGTGTTTAAATAAATAATTTATTGAATCAGGTTGCTTCTTCCATATGTTGCCTATTGTAAACAACACTGAAATAAACATAAGGGTGCACATATCTTTTCAAATTAGTGTTTTGGACTTCTTTACCTACATACCCAAAGTAAAATTGCTGGGTCATGAGACAGTTCGATTTAATTGTTTGAGGAAAATCCATACTGTGTTCCACTGTGGCTGCAGTAATCTGTATCCCCACCAACGGTATACAAGGGTCCCCTTGTGTCCACATCTGCACCAACACTTGTTGTTGGTACTTGTGTGTATTTATTGATGATACCCGTTCTGACAGATGCGAAGTGATATATCATTGTGGTTTTAATTTACATTTCTCTGATTGCTGAGATTGAGCATCTTTTTATAAGCTATGGGCCATCTGTATGTTCTTTTAGGAGAAGTATCTATTCAGGTACTCTGCCTACTTTTAATTGGATTGTTTGCGTTTTTGGTGTTAAGATATATGAGTCCTTTATAAAATTTAGATATTAACCCCTTATCATATATATCATTGGTGAATAGCTTCTCCCACTTAGGAGGCTATCTTTTCATTTTGTCGGTGGTTTTCTTTGCTGTGGAAAACCTTTTTAGTTTGATGTAGTTACACTTGTTTATTTTTTCTTCTGTTTCGATCGTTTAAGGAGATACATAAGAAAAAATATCACTAAGAGGAATTTTAGAGAGTTTATTGCTGATGCTTTTTTCTAGGAGTTTTATGGTTTTGAGTCTTACATTTAAATCTTTAATCCATTTTGGGTTTATTCTTGGTTATAGTATAAGAAGGTGGTCTAGTTTCATTTTTTTGCATGTATGTATCCGGTTTTCTCAAAATTATTTATTAGACTATCTTTATCCCATTGTATATTCTTGACTCTTTTTGTCATAGATTAGTTAATTGTATATAGGTATTGGTTTATTTCTGGGCTCTCTATTCTTTTCCATTGATCTTTGTGTCTATTTTTATGTCAGTACCATGTGGTTTTGATGATTATAGCCTTATAGTATAGTTTGATATCAGGCAGAGTGACTCTACTAACTTCATTCTCCAGGTCCCTAAACTTTGCCCCATCCTCAGCCTGATCCACTCCCTCCTGAAGGAGCCCCTCCTAAGAGAAGGCTGATTCTTTCTGTCATGCCACCTCCCACTGGCTGATCTTATCCATCCTACTCTCTGCACAGGTTCTTTATAGTTTTGTTTACTTCTCCATAGAAAATAAACTCCTTTGTGCCTAACCTCTGAGTCACTCGAAGATCTCACAGCTGGAGCATTCTCCCTATTGCAACATTTCCTACCCCCATTGCAAGAGTCCCTTTTCTCCTCTTGTTAATAATCCTTTCGAATAAAGTCTCTCCTTGCCAATGTCCAGAGTTAGTTTTTATTTGACTTTATACTCTGGCTGACTTGAGATTTCTTGTTTATATAAGCATATTCATACCTTTTTATTACTGAATAAAGTGCCCAGGAGTCTCCGTGCCTTATTTGCATAAATTCTAATAGTTTATTTTCTGAATTCAAAGAGCATTTACCTCTAAGTCTAATGAATTTACCTCTAGTTTACTTGAGTCTAAGTTGGTTTATTCCCAGGTGCGGAGACTACTTGTTTGTCTTGTGGCTTTTTCTTTTCTCCCTCTGGCTTATAGTGAAGGTCAGAGTCCCTAGGTCTTAGCAGGAAGTGATTACTGGTGTCTAGTGGGTAGGAACCAGGGGTGCTACTAAACACCCTACAATGTGCAGGACAGTCTTCTGTGACAAAGAATTATCCAGCCCCAAATGTCAATAGTGCCAAGGGTGAGGAACACTGATTGGCAAGAGCATCACTGATCCTAACAAATTTAATCAAAGGATGCTTGCTTATTGGAAATCTGGCAGTGGGACAGCAAGAGAAATACCTATCTTCATCCAATCACACCATGACTTTTTCTTTGAGGCCCTTAAGCTCCTGGAGAAAAAAAGGATCAGTGATTTGGCAACAAAAATTTATTTGTTAGTTTGCAACATTAAGTACAACATATACAATTCACCACAGGGTTACAATCCAATATTTGTGCTTTGTAGGGCAAGTAAACATTCATTAAAGCACAGCAAAAGTACACATGATATTCTGAGATTGTGTAAAAAATAAATAGATCCTTTTTCATTTAATAGCGCAAAGGATTTTCAGCTTGAGATGGTGGATACATTGTCAAATTTAACATTTGATTAATGTGTCAAATTGCATGAAGAACCTAAATTTGGACAGTCTATGTAGCCAATGCCCCATGAGTCCTGGGAAGGATTCCCGGGTGGGCGGTGAGAGGGAGGTGTGGCTTATGAGGCAGCTTTCTTGACATTTCAAGATACGGAGGATGCCTAAGGCCAGTGTGGCTAGTGTGGGGCCTTGCTCCCATTTCAAATTACTTCCCAATCTTTAAAAATAAAAATAGGGTAAAGGCATAGTATTCCAGGAAATCTTCAATAAACATTTCCTTTGATCAAGAAAATAAAGCTGGCTGGCCGGGCCCGCGGTTGGCGTTCCCGTCCGGGCGCTGTTTTCTCCCTCCTCCTAAAAAAAAAAAAAATTTAAAAAAAGTACCAGCCTAGCTCATTTAGTTGAAAAGAAAGAAGGTTCATTGGGGGGAGGGGTTAGATACTTTCATTTTCCAAAAGACTAAATCTCTGTTATTAAAATACTTAACTGTAATAAGGTTTTCTTTCCCCCAAATTAAATGCCAATATCTTTGAATCAGGAAGAGTCTATGATCCTAACTCGTTAGGTCAGATCCTCTATCTGTCCATCTGATTGTCATCTGAGTAGCAGGTCTGTGTACAGGTACACATCAACACGTCTACAATGAAAGCGCTCAGCTCCAATACCAGTTTGTGACTTAAGACAACAACCTCTTTAGATTTTCTGCCCCTCTAAAATAACTTGATATATTATTTAAAGTAATCTCTTCATGATTTACAATAATAATAAAATGACAGTTTATATTTTATACAAAAGCAGGTTTTATCTCAAAAGACTTCTCTTTCCTTCTTCCTTTTTTTGATTATTGTTAATTTTTTTGTAGAAAGCTTTCCCTTAGGGTAAGAATTCTGTAACCATGTTAGCCAACTAATACAGGGATGGAAACAAGACAGTCTTTGCTCTGTCTCTTTCTTGGCTGAACACCAATAGTTTTCTGATCAGTTAGGAATCCAGATATCGTTGGGGAGGTGTGGAATATTTTCAGTGAGTGGCAGGAAATAAATGAAGAAAACCTCATTAGAAGACATTGCTGATGCTCTTACATGTCTGTTGATATCTACTGACATTAGTCTGAAAATGAAAATTTTTTATGTCAAAGTTCTGGAAATTTCCCACCCATATTTTCAGTGTCCCCTGGGCTGACAGCCCTGTAATTACTGCTAAAAAAGTAACATAAAGGTTATAGCATAGTTTACAAAATTATGTTGACCAATAACTTTGTTTCCAGTTGATTCACATAATTGGCCATCTTACACATTTTATATCATTAAAAATATGCAACAGCAGCTTCCTTAGAATTTAGGCCTAGTTATAAGCTTTTAACTGGAGATCCAGTCAAGTTCCTGCTTTCCCAGCCACTCGAATGCAAACTCTTTTGAACTCACCCATTCATTGTATTGATTTGTACAGATCTATATTTTACTTTTCCTCAGGTTTATTCCATGAGTAGTAGCCTTGAACAGACGTTTTTTTGTAGCTCTGCTAATGTGATGCAATGTTTGAGAAAGGTTAGAGCATTGAGAGCAAATCAATATAATCTAAGCTGGAACAAAGGAGAAGAATTCTGTACAGGGTACGGTGGCCTTATCCCAGGTCCAGCAGCCAGTCAAAGAGACTCGGGGTCCCGTCTTTCTGCTCCTCGTGCATTTTGCAGTACTGAACGACAGCGTGGAAGATATCCCCCACTTTCCAGGACTTCTGGTGAACCAGCCGAACCACATCTAGAAACTAAAATAAAGCACTGAGTTAGAAGTCACACATCACAGAGGTTCCTCAAAATCATCTTACTCAACTACTCTTTCAAAGCCAACAGCTCTCCAGGCTATTTTTGAATATCCCTGGTGACATGATACTCTTTTCCAAGACAGTCTACTTTCTTTGTAGACAGTTCAGCTCATTGGAGAGTTCTTTCAGCTGAGCTGGAAACTTTCTCACAGCAGTTGCCATTCATTGATGAGAGAGACTGGATGAAGTGTTTCTTTCAAGGCTCTTTTCAATATTTAAATAGTTTCCTCTGGTCTGATTTGCTCTGGAATAGACTTTCTCTAACTGAATGGTATAGTATGGCTCCCAATACCTTCTATAACATGTCACAAATAATCTCATTATAAATATATATACTTATATTTTATAAATAAATAAATAAATACACACACACACACACACACACACACACACACACACACACAAATAAACCAAGTGCTAAACTTTTGTGTTGGGTCTCCTATTGATTCCTCATTCCACCAAGGAAAGGCCCTTCCCCCATCATCAAGCACTAGAAGAGGCTGGCTTTCCATTGCAACAAGAAAAGGAAAGCTTGAGGAAGTGCTCTTATTTTTACTAGCTTCAAATGACCACAGTTGGGAATGTTTTTGGCTGTAGGTAAATTGTGAGCTGAAGTGTCAGAAGATGGGGAAATTGTTACAGACCATTCCTTTCATGATATTGAATACTTTGGGATGGAGCACAGCCTCACGACCTCTCAAACTCTTTAGTAAGATGCTTAAAAAAAGTAACAATTTATTAAGAGCCCAAATCTGTAGGAAGTACTTTCATGCCTGCAATCTCATAAAATTCTGTCAATACCCTGTGAAGTAGGGATTAACAGGTGAAAAAATTGAGGGCTAGAGAGATTAAAAAGTTGCTACTATGATGCATGGTTTTCTAACACTCCAGTCCAGTGCTGTGTCTATCTGCCCCAGCACCAGGCTGCAATTTAGTGGTAGGAGAATACGGCCTTGATATTCATTTGGAGTACTGGGAGAAAAGATTGGCTGCGGGTGTGATCCAGCTTTACGAAGAAGAACGACCTAGGCCGAAGATGAGGGTTGTGGTTTAGGGACTATTTCTTTAATGTTTCCTTCTAGGATTTTTTTTTTTTTTGCTCTGCTCCTTTAGTGTTTGCCCAGATTTTCCAGATCAGCCAGAAACTGAAATGCTAATTTCTATCTGTCTTTTTACTTCTCTCCAGCTTGAATTTGTTAATTCATTTCTGTTGCCATGAAGTCATCTTCCAAAGAGCTACCACTGAATTACATTTCTTCCCACAGCTGCGACGGCACTGACTCCTTGCATAGTGATAGAAATCAGCACTTCATTGTACTTGCTAGCTTTGTGTTGGCTTAATCAGAATAAAGCAGTTTTCTAGGCTTGGAAATGAAATATTTAACTTTTAATGCATAGAAACATAAACATTATCTCAGAGTTTTCAGATGATATAAAAAGGGAGACAGATGGGAGGCTGATGGCAACTATGTTATAGATAGTAATCTCCCAGAAAGAACCATATCTTAGCCATCTTATAATGTCTTGTGCCTGTACGTAATAGGTACTCAATAAATATTTGCTGAGTGACAAAAGGGATGCATTTTTAAATGTAAGTCAAACAAATTCAAGATGATCAGGAAGACTATTTGGTATATGGAGTGACATCCAGAATCATTACAGATGCACCTTATCTAAGTATATATTCTTGAGTTTTATGTGATATATTTGCACAGATAAAATTAAAAATAAACATGCATATATTCAGCTGCTTACTCAATAATTTTCTATTGATAGGATGCTCATTAGAAGTCATCGGAGACCATGGATCTAGAGGAAGGCTGAACAGAGCTTAGATGGGGGCATGGTAGTGAGCAAGGAGCAAAGTAAAAGCTGGCTGTGGGGCACACCTCCAATGGCCCAGCATTTGAGAGCAAGTGTTTTAGCGGGTGGATACGCAAGAACTTTCTTCACTGCTCATTACAATAGCAATGGAGGGTTAGCTCCATCAGCTCCTTCTGCCTCAGTCATAGAACTTCAGAGACTCTTAATTGTCTGGGATCCCTCACAATTTCTCCTGCCTTCTTTTCTATCCTATTTCTGAAATTTTACAAAGCGTAATCCTTTAGGTTAAGGTTTTGCTTAAGATGCAAATCCCCTTACATAGGGAAACATTACCAGCAGCTATTAGTAACTTATGGAGATGCATAAAAATAATTTTTTGAGCCATTACTTATATCCTGGTCTGTGTCAATGGTCCGGGGCATGTTTTCTATTGGACAAAGTGGTAAAATTATGAGGCATCAGGGAAAGTGGGAGAAAGGCTAGGATATGTTTGCATGATTTGATTAACTAGACTTTTTTTTCAGTTCTTACTAGAAGTCTAGAAAGTAGGCGCTCCCAATGCAAAAGGCGTGAATATCGAGTTTCTTAGGTCTCACTGTAAAAGATCACAGATTGTTGATTTCTCAAGATTTCCCTCAAGGGTCATCAGTGGGCTTAGTTGGGACATATGCCTTGAGAGTACCTCCTCCCCCTTAACATGTCTTACAAAGCTGCAGTCAACATGACATACACAGAAATATAAAGTAAGCCTTGGCTCCTTTCTTTGTTCTTTCTGTGAATCTGGTTCACTGGATTGCCACTTTGTTCCCAACTTTCATCTCGGAGTCACTGCTCTGAAAGAGTCGAAGTTCTAGGGAAGATACCAATAATTGTTAAACCTTTCCCAGAAGGCCCTCTGTAGCAGACCTTTCTAGAAGCCCACCATCATTTTTTTCCATCTATATGGGAACTGCTGAAGGAAGGTCTCCCTATCTGTTTGACTGATCCAAAGTTGTCAAAATGCTCCATCCACCAGCAAGACCACTGTGCCAAAAATTTGTGCAATGGTCACAGACTGGAATCTATCTCATGATTTCTAAGTCCAGGCCAATATCCTAATAATATAGTCTTTAAAAATGTTCTGGTCCCACTAAATATACCCTGCTCTAAGGCATTGTGACTTAATCTCAGCCACTGAGGCCTTGAAACATCTGTGGGGTGATGAGTGGGAAGGTCATACGCTTTCCTCCCTTCATTTACAAAAACTTCTAGATAAAAATGAAGCTTCTGTGTGAAGAAGCCAGAAAAGAACATTTCCAGCTCATTACTATAGCCTTTAAAAACCACATTCTAAATAGCAGCTGATCTTAGATTTTTCATTGTATTTCTTCATTGTGCCTTTGTAATTTCATAATCAGCTTTCATATGTCAGGGATCCGGGTTTTTCTTCCCAATTAACTGAAAAAAAAAGTCAAAATTGTCCTCTTCCTGCCACTTCAGAATCAATAATAATTAGATTCCCTTCATATATGTTATAGTTGGCATTTCCCAGAACAAATGTTTTATTTTAGAAAACAAGAAGACTTTACATCCTGTGATGGTATATCATTGGTAGATGCATTTGAAAACAAGTGTCACATCGCAGGTGGCCTTTAGATTCTCTGGTGCATTTACCAAATTAGGTTGCTCACCAGGTCATGTGGTAGAATCTATGGGAGCTGTTGCACATTGTGTGGGGTTTTTGGGAAATATCCAGCATAGATTTCTGAAAGCAAATACCTTCCTTTGCTCCAAGGCAGACTTCCATGTCATTACACACAAGTGAGCTGGTTTCATGTTGCTCCTGTGATTATGGCTGGTATAGCTGTGGTTCTCAGCCTTGGCTGCACCCTGGAACCATCAGCAACCTCTGGAGAACCCCGATGCCTGGGTTTCATCCCAAGAGGAGATTCTGACTTAAGTGGCCAGAGCATCAAGCGCTCTAAAATCTCCCCAGGAGGTTCTAGCATGCACTGAGTTCGAGAATCATGACTAAACGATTCAGTTCAAGAACATTTCTTACGTTTATAAGTGAAGAGACAGTACATATTATGGACTGAATGTATCCCACTCCGAAATTCATGTGTTGAAGCCTTCACCACCAGTGGGATAGTATTGGGAGGTGGGACCTTTGGGGCATAATAGGTTTAGATAAGGTCTTCAGGATGGAACTCCTGCGGTAGGATTCAAACCCTTGTAAGGCGAGGAAGGGACACCAGAGCTTTGTCTCTCTGCTGTGTGAGAACACTGTCAGGAAGAGGGTTCTCACCAGCAACTAAATCTGCTGGCCCCTTGTTCTTGGACGTCCCAGTTTTAAAATTGTGTGGAATAAAAGTTTGTTGTCTAACCCACTCAGTCTATGGTATTGTGTTATAGTAGCCCAAGTCAACTAAGACAGAATCTAATTCTTCCATATTTTTCCTTCCTTAACTGTGTACTTCTTGAACACTGAGACTTTGCCCTGGCCAGGAGCATACTTGGTTCCAGCATCATCTCAATATGCCAAGGTTGCAGGTTCAATCTCTGGTCAGGGCACATGCAAGACTCAATTGATGGAAACAATAAATCGAACAAATCTCTCTCTCTCCCCCTTTCCCTTCCTCTCTATCTTAAATCAATAAATAGAAAATTAAAAAAAAACCCTGAGACATCAAGGGTACTGTTTTGGAAACATTAGGCTAATAGTATCATCAATATTTTCTCTGCTCTTCTCCTTCCACCACTTTGCATGTGAATGGAATGAGAAATTAGAAGTGAGGTGATTTCTTTTCTGACCCCCACTTTCTTGGGAAGGTAAGCATATAACTGTTTCCTCTCTTTTCTCTTCTGTGCACTGCTTTCAAGAAAAGGAAATAATTCTGAAAGCAGTCTGAAAAGTGAGAAAGGCACCAGGTTTGCTGTGAGGCTAGTCACCAGCCCACTGAAGTTCACAGAGGCTCACTGAGTTTCAACCAAAGAAGAGCCAGAGATCAAGGATGACTTGGACCCAAAAAGCCAGACAACTAGCCAGTTGGTGTAATTTTTTAAAGCATTTGCTTTCATGATTCTTTCTTCTGTCTCATTTAAAGTAGATTAAATTGAACTGATTGAGGGTCATTGTGAATTAAATTTACAAGCTGTTTTAGATCATCAGGTGTCAGGATTCATAGCAATCTCTCCCTGGAATTTAGCATATTTAAAAGCCACCTGAAACCCTGCCTGTCCTTCAGGATATTTCCTGTAGCAGATGATCTGAAACTTTAGTGCTCACCAGAATCACTGCACTTGAGGGAAGTTTTTAAAAATGCATATTTTGGGGCTTCACTCCTAAAAGGGTCTAGAAATGTGAACTATAAATAGATGCTTTAGGTGATTCAGTAGTATATTTGGCTCATGGTCTCAGTGTAAAATTTACTGTTTTGGTGTGTTTTTCATCTGCCTTGTCCAGAATAAGTTTTCTTCATATGTCACAAGGTTGCTGTTTACAACCCGAGCCTCTCATGGTTTAGGTTCTCTCAACCTCAAGTCCTTCTAGAACTAGACTATAAACTTTTAGAGGGTACAAAATATTGTCTCTTTAGTTCTCTGTATCCTCAGAACCTAGAACAGCACCTGGCAGGTTATACATGCTCAATGAATGCTTAATAAATATTCTGAATGTATGACTTCTAAATGGACTTAGCATTTTAATAAATGGACAAAATGCATTGAAAGAGAAAGTCTGAAAATGAATGTCTCATTTATCAGAGAGGAGTCACAGTACATTGGGTGCCCATAATGTTCAGAATTTGCCTTTTGGGTTGAAATGGGACTGGAAGTAATTTTAAGCTGACTTTATGTGCTCCCCAATTCCAAGGTCAATGGCGGGAAACATAAGTTGCTTCAGTGTTTTTTCATGATATTCTCTGCCCTGTTAGCTTATGACTGTATTTTCACAAGGCAGAAGGGTTAATAAGTTGGAAATACCATAAGGGAAAAATGTTGGCTAAATTAATTTATTCTCTAAAAATCAGAATTCACACACATAGGGACTAAAGGTATACACTTCTGAATGGTGTTTAATCCTCAAGTGACAGTGGGAAAATGATACCGGGGAACGTAACCTGCCCCAAGCTGGTGAGAAGCTAAGGAGAGGCTGCTGTCCTTTTGTGACATGGCCTCATCAGCGAAGGCCCCAGTCTCTCTTCCACACCACTTCACTAGGGCCACCCAGTCACCTGGCTAATTACAAAACAATCAGAATGAGGTCTTCAAAGGCACTCCTAATTTTAAAAAGTCAAAATTCTGCTTAAAAGTTTGATTTATTTGACCAGTCCTGTCAGAGACAGCAAATGGCACCCATTTATAGAGAAGCCACCATGTGCAGAGAGCCTTAACCATCTCCAAAAAAAAAAAAATGAGATTTTGTTCTTAGCATTATGTGACTTGGGAATAAGATCCTGATGCTATATGGAATGAATTGGACCACCGTTTAATGTTTTTCTAGATAAAACTGGTGGGACACTGCTTGTCTCAGGAAAACAGTAATGAGCAAAGGTAGGTATTCTCTTTAAGAACTGACAATCAGAAGGGATAAATGAATATTATCAGGGTGCAATTTGCATAATCCAAGTGTTAGTGATACAACCCTTGGGTTTTCACCTGATGGGACATTATAAGGCATATTTTTACGTAAACCATCATGTTGATTCTTCAAAATAGTGGATTGTATGAAAATCTTTCATTAAGAGACCATCTGAAACTGCACCATGTAGTGCTCTGAGGATGAAGTTGGCAAACAACCTGTCCTTCATTTTTCCAGGAGTCTGAGAATGTATTTGCCCTAGAATGTCCTTCTTCTTCTCCCCATGGCAAAGGGTCTTTGGGATTGTACGTGGCAGGATGGAGGGATCCAGTGTAGAGTGTTCTGTCCCTTCACCCTTCTCATTGGGCAGGCTGATTGCTAAGGTAGAAGGAGACTATCAAATAGTAAATCACTCATCACCTTGCACACCAAGTATAGGCTAGTATCTAGATTCAGGTAGTGTAGAATGGTAGGCAATCCTAGGCACCAAGAGAAATATAAATTACTGGTTGGAGACAAGTTGAAGGGGGAGAGGGCATGGGGAATCAATTTGGTCTCCTTGATTTTTCCAGTGGTCAGTTTCATCGGTTGGTGTTGCAGAGATGGGGAAGCTATTCAAACTACCACACACATGGCAAGATGATAAAGGGTCTTTCATTTCAGGCTGCTAGGTTTTGACAGTGAGAATGAGAATACAATCACACATTTAAAACTTAGATTGTAACTCCAAGGTGATTTTACTTGAGAAAGACACACTGTTGAAAGGCATGTGTGGAGAGAGCAGGGCTCCAGGATGAGGCTCCACCATCTCCATCTGAGGACTTTCTCATGGACCAGCCTCTCAGCATCCTGACTTGCTCATTTATAACAAAGGGATAATAACGTCCATTTTCCTCTTCTCACAGGATTGTCGAGAAACAACTACAACAAGTAGGTGGAGATACTTTGTGACAGCCATTTAAAAAATCTACGGTGGCAATGATAGGCAGGATCCTAAAACAACTCCCAAGGTTTTCTACCCTAATGGTTGATACCATGAGTAGGATGAGAGAATTGTGCTCCCATCATGCTACCCTACAAGGCAAAAGGGTTCTTCAGTTTTTGAGTTGAACAAATGGAAGACTACCTGTTGAGCCTAAGTTAATCACATCAACCCTTTAAAAGCAGAGTTTTCTCTGGTTGGTGGCAGAGGTAAGAAAGATTGATAGCATGAGAATGTGGAGGGGCCGTATGATAAGGAATGTGGGCAGCTTTTAGGAGAGGAGGGTGGCCACTGGCTGATAGCCTGCAAGGATCCGAGGACCGAAGCCCTACAACCCATAACCTGAACAAACATCAGCGTGTTCCTCCCCACAGTTTCCAGATGAGGGCCCAGCCATGCCAGCATCTTGGTTTCTGCTGCACAAGTCCCTGAGCAGGGAGCACAGCACAGTCAACCTGAACTTCTGATAGCAGATATTGGGGTTATTGCTTAAGTCCATAAACTGGTGGCAGTTTGTTTGTTATACAGCAATAGAAAGTAAACATGGCTACATTACCATTCAGCATACTTTCAAATGCTGGGCAGTTGAGCTTGGAGATAGATGGATTCTTGCCTTAATCTTAATAATTGAGATTCTACCACAGTTATAGGCAGGTCTTAGAGGTATGGAATTAGAATGACAGTGGCTATTAACATTGTGATGTTGGTCCAGGTTGTATTCCCTAGTTTTATATTTCTGGTAAGTGGGGAATGCTAATGAGAAAGTCCCCCTCATGCAAACCTGTTTGGTAGGGAATTAAAAATGCCTTTTTCTCGGTGGCATATTTAAAACATGCCACAGTCTGTTTTAAATATCAGTGTGGCCTCACTTTTGTTTCCAGTAAATACCAAGCCTTTCCTTCTACCTTTTGTTTAAATGAGTGTTAAGAAGAGGTTTGTTCTGGAACAAGGATACATAAAAAACCCAGACTCTTTGAATAAGTTCTCATCTCAATTTACTTTGTCATCTTCACCAACAAGTTGAGACAAACTGAGGGGTGAAGAAAAAGTAATCATGATTATATTTATGTAGTGGAAGTCTTCAAAGTTCTAGGCACAATTTTAAGGTGAACAGTCAAGAACCAATAATTCAAATTCAAATGAGTTAACCTGGTATTTACTGAGTTTTCAGCAGTGATAAAAACACAGGCTTCACTGATATCCAACACGAAACATCATACCTTTTCAACTCTGTTTTCCTGAGATTTCTTAAAGTAGATGGTAGGAATCCCAAGTTCAGAGGCAGCTATCCACTGCAGAGTGGCTCGAAGCTCAGCATCAGGACACTCTGGCTCCAGGTCAAAGTTGATCACCAGCAGGCTGCCCTGGTGGCTGGCTGCTCCCACAGGTGCTCCAGGGACACATTCTGAACACAGACAACGACACAGCCTTACCACGCCTTCCACAGGGAGAGCGCGGGCCAATTGTGTGCCAAAATTATGGGAACGTGGCTTACCCTCTCCTTTTTCTGACTGTCCTTTAAGAATCTCCTTTTCTTCTACTAATTCACTTTGGGAAAAAACAACAGTATATGGTTGGTAATGTTTAGGAAGAGTAAGCCATAAATGGAAGATGAGGCAATGGGTTTTATTGATCTAAAAGCTTCTGAAGTTTCATTCTACGTTCATTGTTTTCACAGACTGAAGTGATACTAGAAAAATACCAGTGTGGGTGTTTTATGTAGGGCTACGGGTCTTCAATAAATATTCCACCCCTAAGAAACAAAAAGGCCAGAGAAACCACATGGTTTTAGTAGGGACCATTGGCGTGGGAGACTCCGAGAGAGGCATCCTCCTGAAACTTCTATTAACCTTCAGGAGCTTGAACAGTGAGGGAGACATCACGTTAACTAGTTTTCACTGGAGGGTTTATCCTTCTCCTTATTTTACCTGTCATTTAGAGGATCATGTTTCCAAATGGACACAGTTTTTATTCTGTACTATGATGCTAACATAAATTTGCATTTGAGCCTAGAAAAATATTTTTCTACATGGATGTGGTTCTTTGATCTGAAGTAAGGGAAAAGACAATCAGTGAACTGCACAACTTAAATTGTACAATAAAATATCTCAGTTAGTTGACATTTTTCTTATTCTTTTTATTGGGAGAACATAGTAAGCTGGATGTGGTTTAGAACTAAATTCATAACTGAAGTATTTCCTTAGATACAAAAAAATCCAATATTTGAGGTGTTTTCAAATAATGATATTTATTGTGGAGCCTTGAATACAGTGGGAAGATGCAGCAACTATTTGCCAGAATGAGGACACATGTCCCACCAGTTAAAGGGAAGTGACCCCTTTGGGAAGCCCATGGTTGTCCTAATGTTTTCATCCTGTCTAAAAATTAAAGCACAAGGGTCTTAAAAATGTCTTTTTATGAGAGAAGTTTCTCTCTTACATTTTGTCTTAATGCTAAGATCTAGATGACAAATTCCATTGTATTCCTGGTATTGAGAGAGCCCAGTTCTTTATATACACACCTTCTATGTAATAGTTACATAGAAGGATGACCAATTTCCTAAGGGTCTGGATTTTCTGTTAGATCTCTGTGCGGGTAACATTAAGTGAAATGACATGTGGTCAGTACAGTTCCTGCTCTTACAAAGCTATGATGCTGCCGTGAGTGGTGGTAGTCTTGGTTTTCCCTGGATTCATATAGTCTGCAGGGTTATAGGCTCATACCGTGGAGAAAGATGGAAACAGCAGCCAAATAAATGTTTCCTGAAGGAGAAAAATACATTTGTCCCAAAATAGTTTTTGATTTGTTTTGTTCTCCCACAGGCAAGATACTTGATTATATAATAAAGCAAAAAAAAAAATGCTTTAGCTATAGAAAGTAATTGAGGAAATAGGTCAGAGAGCTGATTTTGCCCTATACTTTATTTTCATTTCTTTCTGAAATTTCAGAACTCTCCAAATAATAAGCTAAGTCATCACGGTCAGAAAATAAATTGCAATCCGCTGAATCTTCCGGAAGCATCACAGATTCTAGATGTAGCCCTGACCTCATATTGCTCTTCCAATACTTTATGTCCTACATTTTGTGCTTCTCTCAGTGCGTTTCCACCTTGCTCCACCAGAAGGTCCTCATGGTGAAGGGGGCAGAGTTACTACTTGGGAATGATACCTCTCCAACATGGCACTATTTGGTGTTAGGCACATTTAGCAGTAATAATCCCAGGTGTCTACAAGTAAAGGAAAAGCCATCACACTATCATGTATTGAACAACAGTCTTTGTTGGTTGGCATGGTACAATTTAAATAGATTTTAGCTTCTCAGTGTCCAACTAGGTAAAATTGGACATATTTCTAATTATATGGATGAGCTTTATCAGAAATGAATATATCATAGGGGGCAGCTTTGAAATCTGGAAAGGAGGTGATGGCGGGCGAGGACTATTCTAGGCTCGAGTTCTTGTGCCAGTGACATGGAACCACACATGCCTGGGACCACAGCAGTACAGACAGCATGAAATCAGTGGCTGGGCACAACCTGGATGATCACAATGGATTGCCAGATGGAATCGGAGTGGCGGTCTCACAATCACTGCGTCTCCGTGGCTACTTACTTAATCATGGGAGAAGATGGCATGCTTTCCTGATAAATGTCCAGGTCCATAATGCCAAGACTGCTAGTGGTACTACTGTTGCCATTGCTGACAAAGCAAAAGTTTACATATTAATGCCAGTCTCCACCACCTGGCCACACTGATAATCTACTCTTCTCAGGGGTCCGTCCTTTAGTTCCCAGAATAACGTTGCTTTGTGTCTAGGACTTCTAAATTGATATTTGCTTCTGACCAGATTAGGAGAATGCACAACAAAAAACATTTTTTGGCTCAAGCCAAACACCTTCACTGTGGTCTCATTTCTGCAGTGGTGTGATGTTACACCGGGTAGATCATACCTAGTAGGTGACAATCAGCATGACATTTTTCTTCCTCATTCCAGTTACAGTAAAGATGTTTACCTATGAGCAAAAGGCCCACAGAAACTAAGATACATCTGAGAATTCTGGCTGAGAAAGATACTGGAATACTCATCCGTCTGCTTTTTACCGAAACCAGTGGGTGCACATTATCCCTTTGCCATTTGGGAGATTTTTCTGAGGGACATTCCACAGGATGTGCACCTGGCTCATTGTTGTTTTTTTTTTTCCTACGGCAGAATTCACGAGTACAAAGCTAGGGAATGCCAAGTTTTATAGTTCCTTTATCTTAAAATCTTTGAGCAGCAGCGACATCTGATGCCTCATGCATCATGGAGAAGGAGGGATCCCATATTGCGCCATTGCCAGAGGTTGCACAACCAACGTACGGTCAAGTTACTAGCCTGAAACTTATTTACTGAAACAGAAGAGTTGGACTAAGTTTTAGGCTCTGTCTGTACTCGCAAAATGGAAGGCATTCAATTTCACCAAACCCATTGAGTTTGCTAACACCTTCTCTATTTTCCAATGACATCCCTTCCAAGTAAGGTTTCCAAAGGGTGAGACCTGGTAATAAAGGTGTGTTGTAAGGGGGCAGGCTTCTCTTGGGAACACCATGAGGAACCAGCTGTAGTCCCCTCATTTTGGATTCCTGTCTTGGGTTTTTGGGGTGGGGGGGCACTGAATCTATTCACTGATTGAAATCTGATGACTCAGACCTTGTGCTGAAAGTAATGAATGCCATCAACTTCTGCAAAGTCCAAAGATTCTAATTCTCTTTGCTTGTGAGCTTGACATTGTTTTTGAAATTTTAGACAAGTTGTTCAGCATTGTGAGTTTTTTCTAAGTCCAAACAGACTGACTCACCAGAACTAAAGCTTTCAAGGAACCCAGATACATCTGAATCCCACTTTCAACTGGCCTCTATGTAAAATTTCTATTACCAAACAAGACCTCAGGCTGAAATGTGGCGATTCTTTTGTTACCTGATAGAGGGATAATTTTTAGTTTATATCTTCTGACTGGCTGGGATCCAATCAGATCTGACCTCTGATTAGCTCCTCTCTAGTTTTTCCACAACAAAAGGGGAGAAAAGGGCAGAAAAAGCAAAGGAACAGTCAGGCCAAACAACACAACACAGTGCGGAAACACTTGCCTCATGTACACCCAGCCTGGGTTGCATCTGAAATACAAATGAACGGGAAAGAAAGTTTCAACCATACCAGGTGTAACAGCAGCTCTTTTCAAGAAATTCACAGTTGTCATCATTGAATGCATTCGCTGGGGCTTGCAGAGAAAGGAATACAGCTGACTCTCAACCTTGACCAAGGTAATTGAAGCCATTATTGGCTATTAAGATACCATTCAGCACATATCATGATAGGCAGACACCTTGACCTAGCGGGAACTTCCTTTTTTGTGCTCTCTATTAGGAACCCTTTGTTGAGCATGATTTCAAACGCATTTCTGAAATATGGGTTGAGACCTCTTTCTCTGGGAAGTCAAGTGCAGAGCAGGTACCTCATGGATCGCTCACTGAACTGCAGAAAGCTACTTGTGTCGTCTGGGTTGTCCTCCTCGTTGGCGAGCTGGCACCAGCTTTCTGTGCTCTCCCCACTGCTGCTGGGAGGGTTGGGAACCTCACTGGGGGCTCTGCCTTCTGTCGGGACTTCAGCCTCTGGTCCATCTCTGGCTTCAAGGCTGTCACTGTAGGTGGTAAGACATTATTACCAAGAGTGGGAGCACAAGGCTGCTCTGTTGAGCAGGAATCTCTGCCAGTGAGCAGGATGTTCTTGGACACAGGTGCAGTCTTTTCTTTGAAGCTGAGACTTTTGCTGGGGCCCTAGGCCCTATTTTGCTTTTTCAGGGTAACTCTCCATCAGTTCTCCCATCTCTTCACTTGATCTCTTTCTTTTAACCCCCTCATTCATTTCAAAAACACCTGTATGTCGTACCCTGGTCTCCATACCTAAGAATTATTGAAGGGCAGTGGTGTTTGAAATGACAACCCTCAGAGCATCCTCCCTAGAGATTATGATTCAATGTTTCTCCAGAGAGGCCCACCCCTGTGGTTACAATGCAAGTGGTGGGTGGACCTTGCTGGGAAAAAAATTCCCACCCCAGTTCTGGTGGTTTCCAAAGTCATTTTGCCTAGAAATGTCTCTAAACATATTTTCCCCTTACAGGCCTATTTTTATACCATCCTCTTCCTTTAAAACTTGTAATTTATATCAGCATCACTTTGCTGGGTTAGTGCTTTCTAGATCAAGTAAGTTCTCCAAAAATTTTAACCCTTGATCTGACAGGCTTCACTCCTTGAAGTTTCTCCTCTTTGGCCCCCCATCCCAAAGTTCTCCTTGTCTGGACGCTTTTCCCTTGAAACTTGGTTCTCTGTTTTGCCTGTAGGTGTCACTAGAGACAGGTCTGATGGTTCACTGCCCTCCTCTCCAGTGTGTCACTAAGCCACCTCATCTACCCTCCTGCCTAAAAATAGCTTCCAACACTGAACTCCAGCCAGGACCCCTCTCCCTGATTCTGGGGCTCTATTCAGCTGGTCTTCTGACCATATCCAATCTGTCTCATTAACATCTCAAAATCAATGTTTCCAAACCAAATTCTAATGGCTCTTCATCCTCTTCCTGTGTTTCTTATTTCCATTGATTTTCCTGAGTGCCCAGGCTTAAAATCTCGCAATCCTCTGCATTCAGCCCTCTACATTCAATCCGTTGCTCTACTCTTCCAGTTCTATCTCTGAAGTACCTCTCACATACTTATTGCTGTCACTTTACTAATAAAATACTCTTTAGGTTCTTTTAAATTGCTAGAATTTTAGATTTGAAAGAAACATTATAGATTTCCAGTAGATTAGGATGCCAAGTCCAGTGAGGTCCAACAAATTGGTACCAGACATTGGATCTCAAGTTTTGAGACTGCTGGGCATTGCATCCACTGTTACTCTTTGGCTGGACTGTACTGTATCAGCCTCCAAACAGAGATCCAGCTGTTTCCCCTCTTAAAAACCTTCTACACAATGCTTCCAAATTGATGTTCCTAAGACCTATCTTCGACCATTCTTACCAAAAACCTACAAGAACCCTATGAAGCTAAACTGTCCTTCAAGGTCCTCCCTGACTACCGAGTTTTATCTGCCTCCACCCTAGTCATTAGTAAGCAAACAAAACGCCTGCTGTTTCTCAAACATGCCAGGCATTCCCTGCCTCTTGGTCTTTGCCCCATTGCTTCCCCTGACCAAGTGCTGGAGACAAGCGTGCTTTGAGCTCTGTTCCTGCAGTCCAAGCCCAACCCTAACCCTAACCCTAACCCTAACCCCAACCCTAACCCTAACCCTAGCCCTAACCCTAACCGTAACCCCAACCCCTAACCCCAACCCCAACCCTAACCCTAACCCTAACCCTAACCCTAACCCTAACCCTAAACCTAACCCTTCCACCACTTGTCACCTATTCAGCCTCTCAAAGAGAAATAATAATGCCCATCTCACCAGGGTTTTTGCAAGATATAAATTAGGAAATAAAGATTACTTAATGCATTTATCTTAGTGCCTAGATCCCCATGCCTAAGATTCTTTCTCACAGCATTCTGGAAAGGTACGGTGTTGATGGTGGCTGTTTCTACCATGCTGTGCTGCTAACACTTGGTTAAAAAAGATTCTTAATAAGACTGATTCTTCTTTAAAAAAATGTTGATATTCTTCCAAATTAAGCCAAGAGAAAGGAAGAGAATTGATGCAGCCAGAGAGACATTTAGTGAATTTAGTTAAATTCAAATGAAAGAAAAATTCATTGATAACAAATAAAAACAGTATATGTATTCCACAAAAAGTGAAAATGAGCCAAGTACTGAGCAGAGAGAGCTCCAAAACCATGTATTTGTTAGTTACAAAGTAAGTTTCTAGACTAATATTTTTTACTGAATTAAAACCTTCTGCTATTAGAAAAATTTATTCCAGGATATTTCTTACTAAAGCAGAAGCTACATCTCAGTGATTGACACTGAACATCCAGGTTAAAAATGAGTCTGTCAGTGTATTTTCTTTATCTTAATAATTTCATGCTCTATTTTACAGTAAATTGCATATTCCCTGTTACATAACTGGGGAATTCAGAATGAATAATGATTATCAGAAACACTAGCCTTCATTTTCATTTGAGACCATTTACAGTTTGTTTATTTGTGAATGATGCACAGGTGTGTTAGGCAGATGTGTGTATTTGGCTTCTTTCCACTTCTGATCTTACAGTTCATGCACAGGGCTTTAGACAAGTGCATTTGATGTGCTATCAAATCAAATTATAGAGTTTCTGAGTTGGCAGAGACCTCAGCAATCATCTAGCTCAGTGTTCCCCAATTTCATTTATTAGCAAATCCCTGTCATGATTTTTGCCATATCTGCATTCCCTGTGTATTATAAGAATAACAAAATGTATTATAATTAGTTTACTTTATGTAACCTACATATGCTTATTTTTAAAAATATTTTATTTATTTATCTTTAGAGGGGAAGTGAAGGAGAAAGGGAAAGAAATATCAATGTGTGGTTGTCTCTCGTGTATCCCTAGCTGGGACCTGGCCCACAACCCAGGCATGTGCCCTGACTGGGAATTGACCCACGACCCTTTGGCTGGCTGGCCCATGCTCAATCCACTGAGCTACACCAGCCAGGGTTATATATGGTTATTTTAAAAAGAAATTTGAGTCATTACTACAGTAGAAAAAAGGAATCACTTGCCATAAGTGGAGGATAATAATAATACAAAATACAAAACTACAGTAAGAGTGTTCTTTCCACCAAGCCATCCAGTTGTTTATTACTGTGAAAATTTTTTGAAAGGAGAAATCATGACAGTTAAACATTTACACCTTAAATATTTCACTTGAGCTTTAAATGCAGAAACATGTACTTATTTGCCAACCTTTGGACTGTAAGACTGTTTGGTTTCATCAATTTTCTCTATTTTTGTAATAATTAATTTCTGGTCTTCTTATCATTTTCTTCCTTATGTTTCTTTGGGTTTAATTTAATAATCTATTTTTAGCCTAATATGGAAATTTAGATCATTTATGTTAAGTAATTCTTCTTTAAAAAGAAACATTTGGAGCTATTAATTTCTTTCCTAGGTACTGTTTTAGCTGCATCCCACAAATTTTAATGTGTTGTGTTTTCATTTTCATTCAATGCAAAATTTATTCTAATTTCCCCTGTGCCTTATTCTTTTACTAATGGATAATTCAAAAGTGTGTTATTGATTTTCAAATATTTTGGAGTATTTCTCAGACATCTCTTTGTGATTGACTTTTAGTTTAATTCCATTGTGATTGAAGAACATACTCTATATGGTTTCAATTTTTGCATTTATTAAGAATAGTCTTGATGAATGTTTCAAGTGCACTAAAATGTATATCTGTTGTTATTGATGGAATGTTAATAAATACTAATTAGGTCAAGTTGATTGAGAATGGTGTTCAAGTCTTCTATATCCTTATTTGGCTTTCTGCCTATTATTTTATTAATAACTGAGAAAAGAGTGTGAAATTTCCAACTATAATTGTGCATTTGTCTATTTCTCCTTCCAGCTCTACCAAGTATCATTTCATATAGTTTGAAGTTCTTTTATTTAGGGAATTACATATTTATAATTATTAAGTTCTCTTTTACAAATTGACCCCTATCTCATTATAAAGTATCCTTCTTTATTACCGATAAAATTCATTGTCTTAAATTCTACTCAGTCTGAAATTAATATAGTTATTCCATCTTTGTTATACTTCTTTTCCCATCATTTTATTTATAACTTTTTGTATCTTTACATTTGAAATGCATTTCTTTTTTTTTTAAGATTTTATTTATTTATCTTTAGAGGGGAAGGGAAGGAGAGAGGGAGAGAAATATCAATGTATGGTTGCCTCTAGTGTGTTCCCTGCTGGGAACTGGCCTGCAACCAAGGCATGTACCCTGACTGGGAATCGAACCTCGATCCTCTGGTTCGCAGGCCCACGCTCAACCCACTGAGCTACACCAACCAGGGCTGAAATGCATTTCTTATAGTTTATGGCAGAGTTTTGCTTTTCTAATCAGTATGACTATTTCTGCCTTTTAATAAGCATGTCTAGACTATTACTAATTAACGCAATGATCATATGATTGAAATTAAATATATCATTTTTATAACATTCCATTAGTACCATCTGTTCTTTCTTTTGTCCCTCATTTTCCACATTTCTCTGTGTCAGTTGAAAGAGTTTTACATTTTAACCCCACTATTAGCTTACTAGCATAGCTCTTCATTTTATTTTTTTAGTGGTCATTCCAGGGATAACAATGTGCATCTTTAATTTATCCCCATCTGCCTTCTGATGAAATTACACAAATTCGCATAGAACGGAAGACTCTTATAATAGTGTATTTCCATTTCCTTCTTCCATCTTGTGTGCTGCAATTGATATATTTTAATTCTATATATGTCATAAACATTACTTTTTGTTTTAAACACTTATATTTTGCATAAATTTTAAAAGTAAGAAAAAATGTTTCATATTCACCTACGTATTTACTATTTGTGCAAATCCTTTCCCTCTGTTTAGATGCAAGCTTCCATTTATACTACATTCCTTAGGGCTGAATCCGTCCACAAACACGGCTCGTTGCACAGGTCTAGTGGCATAGTGCCCAACATTTTATTTTTATAAAAGGTTACTATTTAGGTTTTATTTTCAGTTATTTAACAGTTGTTTTTATTTTTTAGAGCAGTTTTCGGTTCACAGTAAAATTGGGCAGAGAGGACAGAGTTCCCATAGGGCCCCTCCTCACACATGCACAGCCTCCACCATCCTGCACCAGGAGAGGTACATTTATTGCAGCCAACGAACCCACATTAGTGCATGATCATCACTCGAAGTACCTAGTTTACATCACAGCTCACTTTGGCGCTGCACATATTATGGGTGTGGACAGATACCTACCATTTTAGTATCATAGAGAATAGTACCACTGTTCTAAAACTTCACTGTGCTCTGCCCATTTATCCCTCTCTTCTTCCCTCCCAACCTCTCAAAGCCACTGAGCTTGTTACTGTGTCCATGTGGACACAGCGTGTACTCCAAGATGTCATATAGTTGGAACTGTACAGTGTGTGGCCTTTTCAGATTGTCTTTGTTCACTTAATAAGGTGCATTTAAGTTTCCTCCATGTCTTTTCATAGCTTAATAGCTCATTTCCTTTTCATCCTGAATAACATTCCATTGCTTGGGTATACAAGAGCTTATTTATCCATTGACCTACTAGAGAAAATCATAGTTGTTTCCAATTTTCAGCAATTATGAATAAAGCTGCTGTAAAATTTTGTGTGCAGGTGTTTCATGTTGGCTTAAGTTTTGAACTCATTTGGGTAAACACCATGAAGCATTATTGCTGGATAATTTCATAAGAATCTGTTTATTTTTTTAAAGAAACTGTCAAACTGTCTTCCAAAGTGGCTGTACTATTTTTGCATTTCCACCACTAATAAATGTAAGTTCCACTTGTTCCACATTCTTACTAGCATTTTATGCTGTCAGTGTTTGGGATTTTGGCCTTCTCATGGGTGTATAATGGTATCTCATCGTTGTTGAAGTATGTGATCGCCTAGGAACATACGATATTGAACAGCTTTTTATATTGATATTTGTTATCTGCATATCTTTTTTTGATGATGTGTCTGCTCAAGCTTTTTATCCAGTTTTTAAAATTGGCTTGTTTTCTTATGATTGAGTTTTGCTGGAACTGGAGTGGCCCTCACTGAGACTTATGGAGATCTTCCTCTGCACAGAGCCCTGCAGTCTGTGACTGCGCAGCTGAGCGTGTGCTCTGAGCTCTGCTCAGGTCCATCCTCTTTCACCGCTGTCTGAAAAGGGAGCCCAGGCAGAAAGCTGGGGTGATCGTAGGGCTCTCCATATTTGTTTTCCTTATCTCTATGTAACATTTGCCGTCCAAGCCTGGTAACAATCATTTCATAGGATCTGTCCATTTTTCTCCCCGTTTACAGGGGCAGGGCAAGTTCAGCCTCACTTACTCCATGGAGGGTGGGACACAGTTCTTTCACATTTTACTGTATTTCTCTGCACAGGCATGCTGTTGAAATTTTTATTTCAATAATTTTAAAAGATAGTATATTTTATATCTAGAACTTTTATTTTCAATAATCATATTTGTCATCTCTTAGAGTATCAAACATATTTAAAACATTTATTTATTAAATTTATTGGGTGACAGTGGTTAATACAATTACATAGGTTTCAGGTGTCCAATTCTATAATACGTCATCTGTGTATCATATTGTGTGTTTGCCACCCCATGTCAATATTGAACTGACTTTTAAATCTATCTCATCCTACTTTGATTGTAGTTTGTTCCTTGACCCTGCTTTATAGACTTTATTTTTTCAAATGTGTAAAATATATTTATTTCATATTCTGTATTTAATAATTCCAACACCTGAATTTCTTGTTAGGGTGAATCCTGGCATCTAATGTTTGTGCTGGGTCTTGTTTATGATGTCTTGATTTGTTGTGCATCTTGCAATTTGAGGTCTGAGTTAATATTCCATGGGGCTTTCTCTGTTGGAATCCTTTGAGACTGGAGCTTGAATATACAGAGATTTATTTTTGCCTCTGCTAAGTTCTCACAGTGATTTTAACCTGAGGTTGTTTTAAGGTAATTTACCAGCTTGGGGGTTCCATGGACCCCTTGGGTGGTACAAATTAGACCTCTAAATATGCTTTAGGGTAAGCTGTGGGAATCAATTCTTAAGGGATTTTTTTCCCTCTACTGAGAGCCCTAAACTTGATGTTAATTTTTTAAAATTCTCACCTGAGGACATGTTTACTGATTTTAGAGAGAGGAAGGGAGAAAAAAAAGAGAGAAAGAGAGACAGACAGACAGACATTGATGCAAGAGAGAAACATCGATCAGTTGCCTCCGATACATGCCCCAACTGGGGATCAAATCAGCAACCTATGTATGTGCCCTGGGACCAAACCTGAGACCTTCTGGTGTACAAGACAACACTCCAATCAACTGAGCCACCCAACCGGGGCCTGAATGATTTTTAAAATCAGCTCCCTCTTCCCAGTGGTGATCCTTTTTCATATTTATACTAAGGACACAACTCCTCAGACTATGGAGGCTGGAGTCAGTTCTAAGTCTTGACCATCCAGGGGCCTACGGTATCATTTCCTGGCTTCTTTTAGCCTTTAGAAAATAAACTTGTATATTACTAAAACTGACAAATGCTTTGAAAACAGGTGCAGACTCAGCTTTAACCCACCACTTTTACTTCTAGTTCCTTTCATTTTCTACCTCTGAGATGATAATGATTAATAACAATGTTAATATCAGCCCTATACTAAAAGTATGTTATGTTAATCCAGAATTTCTAGCTGATTCATAGCAGGAGAATTTTTCGGGCCACCTAGGAAACCATAATGCCAGAAATACAAGTCTCACCTCATTTCTTCACCTGGCTCGTCCCCTTATCTACCTTTTATGTCTCATCTCAAATACCAACATCGTATCTTAAGCAGCCTCTTTGACTAATTAGTTATCCTCTATCACGTTACTCTTTATATTTTTATCGTGTCGCACTCTGCAAGAATGCTTTTCTGAAGAAGTTTTTCACGCGTACTCCTTGTCTTCTCCCACTGCTGTGTAAGAGCCTTGGGAACAGGCACCAAATCTCTACATTCTTCTGTGTTTGCAGCCCCACAGTGTGCACTACTGGGTATCAAATATTTGTTGGATAAATACTATTTTTTTCTTGAAATAAACATGAATGAATGTACAGCATAAAACATGTTTCTAAAAATCAGATTATGTCAGTGAGTGCAACATGCTGATATTCAGAATCTCAGTTTGGTGTTTACATGATAGTCCCAAATTATCAGAAAGTTTGATAATTATTCTTCAGTGATCTCAGAGAGCATGGCAGGATTAAGAACACATCACCGTCCCACCAAGAGGATAATTGTTTTTCAGAAATCAAGAAGTGGGATAATTCAGGTATCTGGACAAACATGGTGACCTAAAATGCAAGTTTTAGACATGACTTCTGTAATATATTCTGAACTTGTTACTCTATTATCAAATCAGAAAGTAAGAAGGTATTGTTTCAGTGTGCTGAGATTTTATGAAGTTTTAGTGCCTCAGAGAGTAGCCTAAAAATATCTTCAGGACATGATGCGTCCCCACCTCCAAACAGAATTAGGAGTGACTGTGGCACCTGCCTCTCTCTGTGAGTAAGTTGGTGGGAACTCTTTCATAGGGAATTGAGTTCTATATTTAGTTATTTTGACACATCAGATTTCATGGTAGCAACTCAGAGATTAGAAAATGTGATCTAAATATGAATAATTTCTCCTCTTTCAAATCCTTGGAAGTCTTCTGTGCCAATAAAATTCTCACATGATTCATAACAAGTTTTTCTTGGGAACTCATATCCTGGGATGAAGGAAACCCTGTGCCCTAACCCCAAACAACAAGAGCAACTGTAAAGCAAACATTTATTGAGTGGTAGGCACCTAAGATTCCTCTTATGACATCATCATCATCATCATTATTATTCCAACCTATAGGCAGATAAACTGAGGGAGAGAGATCAGGGAACTTGCCCAAGGTGATGTGGTCACAGGGTTTGTTAGTAGAGGTCATGTTCTATAACAATTCTTTACATTGTTCCACAAAGAAGAATATACTTAACATTTAGGAGTCCTTATGTTTTGGAATCAGATGTATCTCTTGAATTTCTAAGGCTGATAATTCCACATTTTTTTCCTTGTTATTATTGGAAAACAAAATGAGAAAGCTGAAGGAATATGTGCTTGGGTCATTATATGGAACAAAACCCTAAATCAGCTGGAGGCTTTATTCATGTATTTAGAAGATTTTTTGACAGTCCCCAGGCTGTACCTATTTTAAGCACCCTATATATCAGTGCCATTTTAGTCAAACTTGTATGATGGATGTTACTGATGCACAGTCTCACAGATCACTCACTCACCTTTGGTTCTGGCAGGTACTCTTCTCAGCATCTCCAGCCCTCCCCGCGTCTGGGATTTTGTCTTCCTTCGAATGCTCCTCTGTTTCTTCTGGGGGGCTGTCTTTGGACGGGATGTGTTCAGGTTCACCAACACACTCTTCTCTCTGGTCTGTTTCAATCTGAATTAAAGGTACTTCCCTCAAGAGACGTGATTGCCCGGGGTGGCGTATAAGGACACCACCATGACACAAGGAAGTTTCCTTTTCAGAATCTAGGCTCAGATGATCAGCTTCACTGGGAGAGGACCCTGGGGGATGCAGGCTTTTGGTAACAGAGTCTTTCCTCTGGTAATCAATAGACTCTTGGACAAGAAGAATCGGCCCAGTTTGCACTCTGCCTGAAGCCAATCTGTTTGCACACTTGTCTCCATGCAAGGGAGAGCCCCCAGACCCGGGCTCAGCATTGGCTTGGCCATCATCCGCTATAATTTTGTTCTTCCGCATAAGGGCCTCGATGGAGTTCGCCCATGTCTCATGAATTAACATGGTCGTGATCTGGTCAGTCCCACTCCTGCGATACAAGCAAGAATCGGATTTGCAGAGCCCGGTGGAGGTAGCACTGCTGACTGGCTGTACGCTCAGGAAGTCTCGCTGGCTGTTCTGAGCAAAGCCATCTAAGGAGTTGGCTTTCAGTGGTGCATTTACGGTCAGCCGGGCACCCAGGGCTCTGCTGTCTGGCATAGACGACTGTCTGTAACACAGTGGGGATCTCAGGGAAGGTGACAGTAAGCCGGCCGTCCAGTCCTGGCTGCCGCGCCTGGAGGAGGTGCTGTCCTTGTTTTCTCTCTCCGCGTCCCTCAGCATGTACCTATAGAACTCCTCGGTGATGCTCTCCGTGCTGGACTGCTTGGAAGGACAGCTTGGCCTCACGCTGAGGTGGTCGCTTCTCCGGCAGGCCTGCTGCACAGCTGAGCTCACAATGCTGCTGGCGTTCTTGCCTGCATAGTAATCCAGCAGTAACTCAAATCCTCTTCCTTCAGTTTCCATCTGGTTCACCATGAACCTGGAAAACTCGTCGGTGATGCTCTCGCAGCTCGACTGCTTGGAGACAGAGCTGGCCCTGCTCCCCGGCTGACTGAGGGCGCTCGTTAAGCCCAGGCTGCTGACATAGGCCCTGGCGTTGCAGTCCTCCTCCGCGATGCTTTCACAGCTGGAGGCCTTGCGCCGCATCCACCTGTCTCCGCTGTGCAAGCGATTCCGGGGAAAGCTCTGGGCTTGCCAGACGCCATCCACCAGGGAAAACTCCGTTAGGTTCACGATCCTGGCTGCCACTTCGTTTGCAAAGACGTTGACAGAATCTGGGACGTCCTCGAGGTTCATGGACTCATCATGGACCCTGTTCATCAGCTTCTCTTTAAGCTCTGGGTGCTCATCCGTTTTCCGCTTGATCTCGCTGAGTCGTGGCGGCTTGTGTTTCCGCACAGAGGTCCCACTGGCCTGACTCTCCTTCTTCCTCTTCACGGATCGGCAGGATACGTTCGGAGTGACCAGAAACTCACTCCCTCTTTTCCATGCACAAAACCAGGGTTGTTTCCCATTTGAGTTGTCAAGGCAAATTGCTGCGATTTCAGTTGCCATGGAGACAATGGTCTCTGCTAATTCTTCAGCAAAGTCTGTAATGCAGTACAGGTCTGTGTGTTTTGTGTGTAGCATGGACTGAGCATGAAGGGGCAAGTCATTCCCTAACAAAGACAGATTAACTTGAACTTCATCGTTTAGAGGTGAGGTACAGCTGTACTTTTCTTGGATGTTTGGACCGAAGCTGTCCTCAGAATCCTGGGAACTGCTGTTGCACTTGGTGACTGTTGGTGTCCTTTCTTCCTCTGAAGAGGCTCTGCGTTCATTCACAATGTGACTCCGTGTCCGGTGAGGGTTTTTTGCATCCTTTCCCATGGTTCCTTTCGGATATGTTTCCTTGGGGGATATTTTAGCCGTCAAAGAATCAGGCACTCTGGCACTACAAGTCCATTCAGGCTGCAGCATGGGGTTCTGGAAGAGGCCTGGCTTTGCTGAGCCATTACTGGCCTGCTGAGGAGACATGTCATCTACAAGGTCATTGATGACAAGACTAGTGCTACGTGGATTAATGAGTGGACGGCTACTGTAGTGTTCAGTGGCTTTTGTCCATGTCTGACCAGCAGCCTGATCAGGTGTCCGGGGGCCCAGTTCGGGTTCCCTCCATCCAGTGGTCTCCGTAGAAAGAACAGCAGGACATTCACCATGCTGGGCAATGTGGCTCATCTTCTGGAACGTGAAGCATATCACATTGAAGAGCAGCTGATGTGTACTTTCCATTAGCGTGTCCACAGTTTCAGGTGACTGCCCGCCATTGTTGGGGTCGGTTATTTTATTTAGCTGGTGAACTTCATCAATGGAGTGCTTCAGGATAACGTTGGATAGGGCCTGTGCCAGTTCATTTCCGATCACATTTTCTGGGCACAAGCTCTGTGGCTTTGAAGCGGCTTCCATAATTCTTCGGTTCATTGATGCCATGAGGTCTCCGATGCCGCTGTGGGTACCAGGCCTCGTTAAAACCAGAGCAGCCTCCTTGAACAGCGCCTCTGCAATGGCTTCTTTTCCCAGCTCCACGCCCCTCCCTGTTGCTAAATTCAAAAGTGGGGGAATTGCTGCAGAAGGCTCAGCTGCAGACAAGATTCTACTTGAAGCCTCAGGGCACTTCACCTCTCCCATTTCCCCCAGGCCACAGACAGCAACGGCACTGGCCACCTGAGTCATGCCACACAGAGCTGATGGAAAGGAGTATTCACTGATGGAAATTTCCTTGAGTGCTTGGGCCGCTTGCGTCTGCAGTGGTTCATTGCATCCCAGTGGGTGGTTGGCAATAAGGGATTCTTGCTCCGTTTTCAGTCTTTCTGTGGCCCGAGGACTAGAAATAGTTCCAATCATGGTGGCCGCACATGCTAAGGCTACTTCTAGAGCACTCTGGGGGTGCCTGCTGGCATTCTCTCCGGAAGGGACACCTGAGGTGTCAAGAGAGACTTCCATCTCAGAACACAAGGAGATGCCTGGCTCAGGGGCAGCGTTGCTGCCATCTGGACTCTGAACAATGACAATTTTGGGGACGTCATTCCATGACTGAGAGACCACGATATCTTTTGTGGAGCAGCCACTTGGGAGCAGAGCGCTTCCTACAGAGACACTCACTGCAGATTCCTGGGGGAGTGTAGGCTGGGACTGAGATAATCTAATAAATGCATCTTGCAGCACAGATTCTGCTAAGTTTGTAGCATACTCTCCAGTTGTGGCTTCTCCATCTTGCATGGGAAGAAGCGAGTGTGTTCCGCCTTCATGGTTTCCCGGGTCTGAGTCGTGGCCATGCCCCATGACAGTGCCACAGGCACAAGGCCCATCTGTCATAAGCACCCCAGGGAAACAAGCATTGTCTGGAATACATAGTGCCTGCAGCACTTCCGCTTGGTCTTTGACATTTTCTGAATAATGATAATCTGTGGCTGTCCCCTCACTCCCCACAGCTTCACCTTTCTGCTCTGATAGTTCAGCTGATGGATCTAGACTTTGCAAAGTTGTATCTTCTGCTTCTTTTCCCAGAGATCCTTCTGTTTTAATCAGTGTCATAGGATACTTGCTAATGTATTTGTTTTCCAAAGTATAAAGGGACTCTTCCTTATTGTAATTCCATTCCTCCTGCATGATTTCCTTTGGCTTTTTACTTTCCATATCGTTGGCTGAGACATTTATACCCTCACAACCTAGTGAAAAAAATTAAAACCTCTATTACTTTTTGAATAGCAGGTTCTCCTGAATCTAACAGCAATTATTTTCTAAAAATTCTTTAAAGCAGCAGGCATCATTTTACCCCTTAAATAGCATTTGAATATTTCTTCAAGAAAAATGGATCTGAAAGGCTTCTGTGCTTCATTATGGAATTCTGACCAACAAAATGGTTTCTCTTCAGAAAAGAAATTCCATTGTTATAGTGGGTGAAGAAGGCTTTGGAGAGCTGAGAGCTAGCTGCCATTTTTCAGGGGAGAGTAACTGGAAGCCTCCCACTGAGGAAAGAGGAAGGAGAGGGATGTGTACAGCAATCTCAGTAGAGGGTCTTGTTACAAAAATTTGCTCTGAAGTTGGCCTAGAACTTGCCCCAGGGACGGTGGCATCAACATCTGTGGTGTCCCTTCGTAAGGCTAAGCGTGGGTAAGGGAGTCCATTGTTCACTGAACTCCATTAATAAGTCAATAGAAAGAGGGGATAAATGAGTGCTAAGTACTTTCCTGGATTGTTTTCTTCTGCGTTCACACTAGTAATAATATAATACAGTCATATGGCACATAACGACCGGCCAGTGTCCAACCACATATACAGCGGTGGCCCCGTAAGATTATAATGGAGATAATTTGTTTTTATAATCTAGTGACATTGTAGCCATTGCAGTGTCCTGGCACAACTCCTTCTACTTTATAGTGAAAAAAAAGTTTGCTGTAAAACTGTGCTGTGTTACATCAGCAACATCCTCATACATATGACTACATCTTATGTTTACCAAGTCTCTTGATTGCCCCATTTGCTCTTGTTCTTGTTGTTTTGTACAATAAAATGCTGTACAGGCTTACAGCCTGGTAGCGATAGGCTGTCCCACACAGTCTTGGTGCGTAGCTGGCTGTCAATCTAAGTTTGTGTAAGTGAACTACGATATTTGCGCAAGAATGAACTTGCCGAGCAATGCATTTCCCAGACACGTGACATTATCATATCAATTTTACAATAGAATGCTATTCTGTTCCCAAACTATAGATAAGGGCTCAGAAAGACTAGGTAACTGGCCTGAGCTTTCACAGCTTCAAAGAGGATGTGTGTTAGAATTCAGGCCAGTCCAACTTGCTTCAACAAATCAGTGCCTTTGATGGAAATCTTAGGAAAATTAACTTTCCTCCCAGTGATCATCTCCATATCTTAGCAGGCAGAAGGATTTTTCTTTTTAAAAAAAAAGTAAATTTATGGAGGTGACATCGGTTAATAGGGTCATGTAAGTTTTGATTATACATTATTAGGACACATGATCTGTATATTGCATTGTGAGCCCACCACCCAAACTCAAATCACCTTCTTCCACCATACATTTGTCCCCCTTTACCCTCTACCACTCCCCCACCCCCTTCCCTCTGGTGACCCCCATACTGTTGTCTGTCTGTGTCTTACCCAGACAAATAATTTTTGACAAAGGAGCCAAAAACATGGACTAAGGATATAAAAGCATTTCCCCTTAAAACACATAGATTTCCTTCAGCAGCCCTAATGCATCTTCAGGGAGAATGGAGCCATCCAACCACTAAATCTAAGCGCATCAGTCAGCATCTTCCCCAGTGTCTTCTCACCCTCCTTCCCTCCTAAACTCAGTCAGTGACGATTGTGATGTGTCAGCTGAACCGACATGGCCTGAAACTTTTCTAAAACTGCCTCCAGACATTTTATGGGGTAACTAATTTCAGAATGCACAGTTGTTTTATTGGAGAGTTCTTACCGTTCCTATATTCTTCCACCTCGCTCTCTTCCTCCAAGTGTTCAGAGGCTGTGAGAAAGTCTTCCTCGATGGAAGACAGGGAGCAGTTTGTGTCATCCTCCACCTTCAAGATGTTTGCTTCCAGGTGGAGCTGTCGCTCCTGCACCAGTTCCAGACCAAGCAAAAACTTGTTGATTTCGAAGATGATGCAATTGGTACTGTTCGGTCTGTTCCCTCTCGCACACTGGACCAGGCAGATATCTGGCAGCCAGGGGCACTAAATGTGGAGAGGAAAAAAGCCATTTTATTAAAAGGGAAAATAGAAAACCATTGGCTCTGCCCTTTCTTCTTCCACTAGTCTCTCCCGTTGGGAGTGGGGACCTTTAAAATATCAGTATTTGGAAGATCTTTTAAGCTTATATTGATGAAGTGCTTGGAAAAATTCAAATGATGTTTGGGAACACAGGGTGCCTAGGAGGAAATTTGACTTTGGGGAAAATAGACCAGTTGTATCACATATTTTTTTCCTCTGTCAAAACAAAAATTGCCCTGGGCAAAGTGAAAAGGGTAAGAAAGACTTTATTCAAAGCTATTAAAATAGGGGACAGAGGCCAGAACTGAGCCGGACCACAACTCCTCTGAAAGGGAAGGCAGTTGGATCTTTAAGAGCTGGTGCAGGAGAACTGCAGTCCATCTGTGCTCCATAAATGGCTTTACTAAGAGAAAAGTCAACTTTTTTTGTATCTTTATGACAGGAGGCACTCTTGCAAATTGGAGCAAATCTCCCAAAGATCTAAATTATTCTGCAGGTACCACCAACCATATTTTTTATAGATCATTAACGTTGAGGCAACACAGTGATGCTGAGTCTTATCTCAGCCCACGATTGCCAACACTGGCTTGTTTATGGATATCCTCAGCTTGGCTGCCTTGTCCGCTGGAAGGTGCTCACCTGCTAATCAAAAAGTGAGGATGGAGATGCTGGCAGAAGCCACTTGAGCTGGGTTAACTGGGGACATTCGAATCAGTCCCGAGGGCATAGAGCTAACGCTCCCATAGACCCTGTGAGGAAGGCAGCAAATGAGCTGCCCAGCCCCTCTGACCCAGGAAATTACAGTACCAAGGACAAATTCTGGTGGTCAGCTTACAATTTTGAGTAGCCTGCTTAACAAGTTACCTCCCTTCTTTTAACATTAGTTTTCTATTCTACAAAATAAAGATAAAAATACCTTTCTCCATTTTCAGAGACGCATCATAGTGATTTAATGAAATAATATGGAAGCACCTTGAGAAGTACAAAGGACTATTTACATATTGGTCTTTTATTTTAAAAAAATCAAAGGAATATTAAGTAGAAAAAATGTTTTGTTCTTTCAAATAAGGGACAAATGTGGAGTACTAAGAACACCGAGTAATCATCCATTTACTGTGCACATTTGGGTACCATTATTGCGAAGCTAATGCAGACAGCGCCTCTCCTGCTTCCTGTCTCATTATCTATGAGCCCCTCTCTCTCTGGCCAGTCATGTCTTTGTCTTTTTATCTCAGCAAATGACTCTATTGTTTTTTTTTTTGAAAAATAATGTTACATTATTTTATAATTAAATTATACAATTGGAGAAATGAAAGAAAATATAACATCTTTCATTTAGTTACTTGTGGATTCATTCAATATTTATTATGCACCTACTAAGTGCTAAGTACTTAAATTATTTGGTAGGTGTTCAGATACAGTGGTAAGTGGGACACCTTGTTCACATGGAGCTACTTCTTGACAGTCCAGTGTTCTCTCGAACCTTCCCTCTTGTGGAAATTATTAAAGCTATAGAAACACATACATGCTGTCCATGCATGTGTATCTCAGAAGACTAATGAATACAAACTAGTGCACGCCCAATGAGGAGGGGGCACAACAGTTAGCTCTTCTTCCTCAAATTGTCCTCAGTAGAGTTTTAAGAAAAGACTCTAAAAAAATCTTAAGAAAAATGATCATTACAATAGCCAACAGTCAAGTAAAATATTAAGTGGGACATAGACAAGTAAAATCAGTTAATTTCCTACAGAAAAACATTTTTCCAAGATGCTTATCATATACCACAAATCTACTCCTGTGGCTGTCCTTTCTATGAGGCAAAGATATAATTCTACTAAGCACGCCTGAGTTTGAGGAGGTCCAGGTGCAACACACCATCCTTTCCAAACTGCGCCTGTCTTCTGTGGATGCTGCATCTTTGTTGGCTAGACCAGGAGGCCATGGGGAGAATTGGAAAGGATACGGAAATTGAAGTCCAACACACCTGGCCTGCAATGCTGGCTCTTGCACTTTACATGTGTGTGACCTTGAAAGGACCAGTTAGCCTTTCTGTGGGTGAAGTGATACATAGGAAGTGATGAGAACCCTTGGGAAAAAAAGATGTCTGAAGTGTTTCTGTTGTAGTTCACAGGCTATTTTGACAGCTTTTAGAAAAAGTATGCAGAATTTTAAATATGCTTTTGATGGATGATGTTCAATGAGTCCTGGGCAATTTACCCTTTTTTTTCCTTATGAACATTGATGCTGCTTTTGTGACCAAACATCATTCGACCTTTTGGTTTTCAAATCCTGTGGGTTGTCATTTTCCGGCATACTCACAGTCCAAGCAATTCACATGAAGTTAATTTACCTCCAAGTCCAGAGGTGATCATGTGACCCAAGCCTGGCCAATTCGATATGGCATTTCTTAGGCCACAGTGAATGGTTCAGAAATAGGCACATGACACATGGGAGCTAATAGGACATAATGAGATTTTTGCTGGGAGCCACCTGGAAAAGACATTCACGTTTTCTTGCTCAACTTAAACCCAAAGGAATACTGCCTCCTAGTGGGAAGAACTTGTCCAATAATGGGATAAACAGAGAGAAAGCAAGAGAGAGGCCACAAGAGAAAATCCATGTCTGATGACATTGTTCAAGTCCCTGCATTTAATCAACTTACTGCTCTCTTTAGTTACATAGGAAAATGCATTCTCTTTCTTAAGAGAATTGCTGAGCCCTGGCTGGTGTAGCTCAGTGGATTGAGCACGGGCCTGCGAACCAGACAATCGTGGTTCGATTCCCAGTCAGGGCACATACCAGGGTTGCAGGCAGGTTCCCTGCAGGCCAGTTCCCAGCAGGGGATGCATGAAAGGCAACCATACATTGATGTTTCTCTCCCTCTCTCCTTCCCTTCCCCTCTAAAGATAAATAAATAAAATCTTAAAAAAAAAAAACAGAGAATTGCTTAAGTCAAATTTCTCTCATGCTTAATTAGAAAGTTGAACTAATAGGTCTGGTCCAGAAATACTCTTAAAACTCAAGTTGTAAGCTACTTTTGGTCATCATGATTTTGTCTAATATAAAGAGAGCATATTTAGAGTCATTTCCATGTTCTCTTTTCAGATGATTAATTTTCTCATCAAGGAAATATATTATTAGATTGATCCTGGGGAGCTACTACCTTTTGCAACAACATGGATGGAACCGGAAAGCATTATGCTGAGTGAAATAGGCCAGGTGCTAAAAGGAATTTTTTTTCTAGTCTTGATTAACAAATTGAAATGGGCTCTTTGTACATGTTTACAAAGCATCAGGAGTAGAGCAAGAAATAGGGGATGGCCTCTGAATTTTTTGATATTTTTGAAGACTAAAGAGTGAAGTATTTAAAAATTTTCAGCAAAACCAAAATCCAAGGAAAAATAATTTAAAGGAACACAAATGTTTATTATCTTAATCTATAGCTATCACTGTCTACATATCTTATTTGAGAAAACTAATCATTTTTATGCAGTGTGCCTTTAGAAATCTTTTACATTTTTTCTGTAAATTGATTAAAGTTAAATTTTTATTTTCTTCAAATAAAGAGTATAAAATGATTTATCTAATAACAATGGGCATTCTTGTGTTGAATGAGAATAATAGCATTTAATTCCTACTTTATCTTTGGTAACATTCTTTCATTCTGGGAATTTCACTCCTTGGGACCAGGACATGCCCTTTGCACCCTGGGGGCTGCTACCTTTCATGTATTACTTGGCTGTTTGGTGCATTGTAGGATATAAGTAACATCCAGAAAGAAGAAACTGTGGCATTGAGGGACCACATAATATGAATTAGAATTTTGGTATTGTTCCTGAAAAAGAAGATAATTCTGTTTTTTATTATTTGGTAGGTAGTAGAAAACCATGCTAACCACTGAATGCCTCCTATGTCGGCTCTGGTTGAAGTGTCACTGAACACCATGAACTTGAGAAAATAGTAAAGGTCAGGAGTGGCATATTTGGGAGCAATGCAAATGAACTATTCAAAGATTTTTTATTTTTAGGCTAGAAGAGTTTATGTTAGGTATCAATTTGGGGTTCATACTGATATTTGCCAGGAGCCAACCATAGAAAACTTATTACTAGTGAATAAATGTGTATAAACATCTTGTCAAGAGCTGATCCATCTTACCTGTGAAACTTTAAAATCTGCCTGGAGATTTCCAGATGTTAACCCACTGAGGAGGACAATTTCATTTTCTTTGGGTTTTTGGACATTCATGGAGCTGATGAGTTTTGGGAGATCTGGTGAAACGCTGACCAATTTCTGTAGAGCAAAATCTTAATTAGTTTAGATAATTTCTTTTGACTTTCAAAACAGTACCCCAAAACTATTTCTGCAAAAATAATGTATTTATATAACTATTCATATTATAGATTACTTAATCCACTAAAATTATTACTTAAAAGAGATTGTGTGAAACTGAAGCATACAGGTTTAGATTAGAATATAAAAGTCCTTAAACACAAAGATAAAAAAAATTTACTACTAAATTTCCAAAAGTGAGCATTTAACGATCACTGTCATGCCAACGTATACTTAGTAGTTTGGACATTTTTTTTGTCTTAATTCCTAGAGTAAGAGACTTGTTGACTAATAATCATCTATTCTAATAAAGTCAATAATAATATTAGTAATAAAATAATTACTAGCATTGACCTTGCTCTAGGTACTAGGCACTAAGCTAAAGTCTTTATATACCTGTATGTTACACAATTTACCACACTTAATCCCCACAACATCCCTGTGTCAGTTAGGTACCATTATTATTTTTATTCTTACACTGAAGTAATGTGAGGCCCAGAGAAGAAGGTTAGTACTTCACATAAGTGTATGCAGCTAAGTCAGGGTCAGAGTGCCTGCCCTTAGTCTCAAATCACTCAGAAATCTCCAAACACAGTTCTTAGGATGCCAACTTGCTCTGACATCTCTCTGGGATGAACTCTGCGCCATAATTCTATCAAATACAATCATATGTACAACCTAGTTTGAAAATCCTTCCAGTGCTACACAGATACTTGGAGCTTGGTGGAAAGCTTCCGATGAAGCATTTTCAAGGAAGACATTACAAGAGCAAGTGAATAATTGCAGGCCTACTGTTCTGTGATAATCAAGCCGCAAGTGGTGTGAGGTTAAACAATAAAAGCATTATACCAGAGAGTGAGATCAAACCATCTTCAGCTCTCGGCATAAAATGCTAATCATATCACACCAATTATTCTTCCTATTGTGTCCACAGGCTCTAGTTCAAAGGACCAGGTGAGCCTTCAAGCTCCTGTGTGTTGTCAAGGATTTATATTCAGACCCTCACAACCTTGGGGAATCTTACAATATTCACCTACTGCAGAGAGCAAAACATTTGAGTGCCAGATAAGTGTAAGGCTGCGGAAGCAAGGTTAGTGATAAAACATTTGATGACGAAAAAGCAGTAGGAAGCAGCAACCCTGAGAGCCAGAAGAAATGGCTGGCTGGTATCAAACAAGTTTTGTAAAAACCTTAGAAAAGTCATCTCAGACAGAGCACTTGAGGGTGGAGAAGGGAGGAGCAGAAAAAGCCACTTGAAGGGACTGGTGGGCAAGACAAATTGCCTGCTCAGAGGGTAGCCCTCTCATGGGAAAGCAAATTTCATAAATATGAGGTTGGCAAACTACATGGGAAGGTATAGGAAAGAGGTCATGGAAATGGGCTGTGATAAGACCACCCAATGAATGAGCCTCCTACAAAATGAGCATTATTTAGTGATGAAGTAATGTTGGTTCTCTGGTCAGTGCCACGTGCCCTTGTAAGGAGCTCTCAGACAGCCCAAGTCCCCAGCGTTACCTGCTGCAGGTGCTCCGTGCTGCACTCATCCTTGTTCACATCCAGGTTCACAAAGCAGACCTAGGAGAAAGGGCAAAGAGGGGCAGGTAAGTGAAAACCCTGCAAGGCAGTTCCTTCTGAAGAAAGCAGGAATCAGCTGGGGACAAATGATTTGAGAGTCTTAAACCTTTGGAAAGGTTGGTTGAACATAGACAGCCGTTTTCCCTGTGGGCTTCTATGCAGACCTCTATACCCTAATCACAATATCCACTGATCTTACCACATGCCCCCTTCCTTTCATGGCCCAGCAAATGAAGCTTTCTCTTTGTATCAGAGTCAAAGTAACAGCAAAATCTTCAGGTTTATGAAGGGCTATGGAATCTCATGAAATAGTACAAAAGCCTTGTAATACTCTAAATTTTGGTTCATAATTGCAATAAACATGTGTCCCCATTTCCCGTTCCTCTTCTCAGTTCCTGCTCCCTCTCCCCTCTCACTTTTAATGGAAAGTTTACAAAGTGGATTTCTCTTCGTTTCATGGTTTTAAGTTAATTTCCATTTATTTAATATTGCTGCATAGTTCATCTCTTTTTAGCCATATTAAATAAATGTCTGAATATATGAGAGCATAAAAACAATAGGTATTGAATAGTAATTTAGAACAACAATGTCTTAAATCTCAAACACATCACATAGATATAAATCTACTACAACAGAGATGGGGAGAAGAAAACTTAAAGGAAAGTTTTAAAAAGGTGAGATACACTCCTGAGAGTTGTAGATCGTGGTGGGTAGGGACCAGGAAGGCATCCCTGGGAGGTCAGGTAGCATGAGTGGCACTTGGAGGTAGAAAGTTCCACACTCTGCAGAGGATCGGGGAGAAGAGACACTTGATGGGACTTGGACAGGCCTGCAGAAAGGGAATGTTAGCAAGGTCCTGGAAGGTTTGTATTAAATGTGATCATGGAAGCGAGGCTCTGTAATATTTTACTAAAAATCAACCAAAGGCATTCATTCGTAGCAAGTGGGTTTGGCCATGAAAAACTGACAATATTAATTATGTGGCTATTTAATCAGGTGTTTGTACTGTAGATGCCTGCAGGCATATGGGACTTGATGATTTTAGTCGTTGTTCATGGTCATGGTTTCCTAGATTCTATATTTTTCCTTTTGAGGTAAAAAAACATAATCAAAAGATTTGGGGAAAGTCCTTAAAAACTAAATTAGTCATACATTGCTGAAATGTAAAGGTCACTATTATTTTACTCTCCCCAGTAATGGGAGACTTCCTCAAGTTTCCTGGGCTCACAATAACTTTACAGCATCTCCGCATGAGTTATTTGCTGGTTGAGAATAACTAGATAGCAATTTAGGGAAGGCAGGGCATGGAACGTCACCAACACTCTCATTCACAGATCCCCTTCCTTTGGGTTATTAAGATGGGCAAATAGGGAGGGAGTGGGCAAGAGTTACTTTGCCAAGAGTACAAATGGGAACATGGTAGTAGGGGTACTTGGAAGGGGTTCATGATCTAGAGCAGTTTCAATATTATTGTATAATAGCAGTAACTTTGCTTTTGGAAAATGGTTCAATATCTATTAGTCCTCCAGGACTTTTCATGATACACAGCCGCGATGGCAGCTACTGAGTTGATTGGACGATTTTCCATTCTCCTTGAAGAAAGGTGCGCTACCTTCACTGGGATTCTTATTATCTTGTATCTTTGCAGGAGAGGGCAAAGCAGAGGCCAAGAGAGGCATCTGTAACCCTGACTTTCCTGTCTTCTGATACTGTCTTTAGTTCTCTGAAGATGAACTTACTTTTCACTCCTTTTGGGCTGTGATATGAACTCTGCCTATACTTGGAGGAAACCCTTCACACTCAGCTGTGCCAAGACCGAAATAAAGCAAGATATAAACCAACCACTTGCTTATATTTGGCACATATGTCTTTCTTTGGGGATGATCCAGGTTTTTAGGGTCTGATGTACAATTTTGGGAGACCCTCTTTAAGAGAAAAAACAAAATCGAAAATTCTAACTTAGGTGTGAATATTCATTTATTTAGAGGGAGAAAAGGAATCACAAAATATTTCAACTATGAAATGGCTGAAAAATACCATAAGCATGTTACTCCCAGAAAAATAATAATTTTTAACAAAGCAACTGCCAATACACCTCCACAATACTCTCCCATTACATCTTGACTCTATAATCTTTGTCTCTTTGTAGCATCATTTTCTCTAGAGGGAATAAAAAGATAATTCAGTTTTATAATATTGTGACTGAAATTTTTTCAGCTTCCCAAACTTTTACTGATGATATCTTAGACATTTTGATGTCAAAATTAGACAGGTTGATGTCAAATTTAGTGGGAAACTGCTATAAAATTTCTTTGATGTATAAGTTGTTATGGGCATACTCATTACTTCTAATACTGTTACAGGTTTCTCCTACACAAATGTAAGAATTTGGGTAGACTTTTTTTTATTTGATTCCCATTAAAAAAAGCACATGATGTAGTTATTATTTTCAATGCTGCATTTTCAAATAAATTCCTTCCAGGAGAGAACCCAATCTTGAATTTATCATTTCACATATCTGGTGACAGGAAGAATTCTCCACAGACTAGCTTCTGGCATAGGTTCCTTGTTTTCTCTCTTCTGTGTCTATAATTTTGGTATTGGGGACAGTAGGACATGTTCCTATTGCAAAACAATCTCTGAGCTGACACTTTTATGTCTTAATGCCTGGTTGAGTTGCCACTGTCCACAGTAGGAGTATTTCTGGAAGCCCATCCGACGTGTGGATGGCTAGCAGTCACTTAACTATTCTTGAAAGTGGCCTCAAGCCACCTAGATAGACCCTACATAAACACAACACCACTCCATTTCCCTTGAGTGAGACCACACACTTGTCTGTGGTCACTCCAATGACCTCACTCAGTGTGAGAAGAGGTAAGATGTGGTGGGAATCTGAAAGGAAAGAAACACTTGTTAAAATACCTTCCTTTTGAAAATTTTACAAAAACATATAACCATGTGAGCGCATTGCTGAACCTATTCTTAGGGCACTGAGAGTAGGGCCTGTGCACCTGAGGAGCTAAGAATTTTAAGCTTTGATGATTTTATAGTAAATCTACTTGATGGTGAAATGGTTCTTGCAATGCAATTGCTCTCTGTGTGTGTTCACTCACTATGACCTTGAGTTCTTTACTTGAGATTTACACAGCCACTGGTGCTGAACTCCAAGTGGAACATAAGACAAGCCTCTGCCTAGAAGTGCTGGGGAGTGGTGGGTGTGGGGTAGGGACTTTGGCGAGGGGACCAGATGCTCTCTGTCTCTGTGTTGGATGATCTTGGTGCTGGTGCTGAGAAGACAAACAGTACGAGGTATTGTTCTTGCTCTCAGTGAGTTCGGGTATGTCTGCAGCCAGAACACATTGCTGAAACTATGAAAACATTATTAAGCTTTACAGGAGTGACAGGTATGTGTGCTGGAGGAGGAAGTTGGGAGAACAGGCTCAGTCACAAATGTCATTGCAGAGGCGGCTGGATGTGAGGTGAGCTTGGAAGGCAGGCAGGACACATGCAAAAGCAGAAGAGGGAAAATGGCACCAACTACAAATGGATGATTGCTCCCTAATCAGCACCTGCTCAGTCATGATAAGAGGCTCTTGGTTCAGCACAAGGTGAGGAGAGGGAGAAGACAGAGGCTGTGAAGTCCAAGGCAAGAGGTGCTTCCTCGAGAACTCTGGAAGTGAGATCAGAGTTGTGAGCAAAGTGACTTTCTTTTTACACAGTGAAGACTTGGGGGATAATTCATAGACTTTTCAAGGAGTTGGATGAGACAAGAACTCATAGTTCTATGATATATCCCCAGTGCAATAAGAGTGCAAGACCAAAGCGTTAGATATTTCCATCTCTAAAGGTGAGGCTGCTCCCTGTGTTAGTTTGGGGGGTTGTAAGGAAACTTTTGGTGGTGAGAATTTGAAAACAAGTTTTTGGAGGGTGAGTGTGAGTGTTACAGGTGACTAAAATATTAACGCTTGGGACATTCTGCCTTATGGTCCTCTGAGCTGTGTATTGAAGGGAATGCTCAGGGTGTGGTGGGAATTCTGTGGGCCAGGAGGCCGGAGCTGTAGGTCTGAGACTGTGGGTCTGAGACTGTGTGTCTGAGATGGTAGCCACTGGGAATGAGATGCAAGCCCCCTTTGTTGCCTCTGCCTCAACCTGAAGCGGTGCCACGAAGTTCTCTGTAAAATGCCCATGTGTGCAAACCCATATGCGCCAAATGACCCATGGAAAGACTTTTTCAAAAGTGTGTGTGTTCACTTAGTTATCTTTTTCCTTTTATGTAGTCTACTTTCCTTCAGCCTTCACTAGACTGAGTTCATGAGGGCAGGCATTATTCACCATTGTATTTTTAGTGCTCAGCATAGCCCAGCATTTTTTCAGGTGCTCAATGAATGCTTGTGACAAATGTGTATATATGAATAATGTAGAGGTACTGTCTCAGGTGATAGGGGTAATAATTATTGTCCCATGACAAATATTTTCCTTATTTATGAAGTGAATTCCAATGTACTCAGAAAACATAGTTTTCTTCTAGTAAGGCTATGAGGTAGTAAGTAGAGAAGTTATAGGAGAATTAACTGGACTAATATTATTCCACTTATTGGTACTGTTTATAGTACTAAGATTGATTGGCAGTTACAAAATAGTCATGGAGATCTAAAGTGCAGTGTAGTGAACATAGTTAATAATATTATAATAACTATGTGTGGGGCTAGGTGGGTAATAAGATTACTTGGGGTATGAATTTGTAAATTATGTAAATGTGCTGCACAACTTGGAGCTAATATAGTACTGAGTGTCAACTGTAATTGAAAAAGGGAGAAATAGTACATAGATTGGCTTTTTTGTCCCATGAATAAGGATTTGCTAAAACATAGAAAGAGGCAAAAAGTTGAGACCCATCATTGGTAATAAATACACACAAAAGCTTTCAATGTGTTTCTTGGAACAGAATCTCCCTCCCCTTCACATGAAGAACACTCTGTGTTGGGTTACACACGGCCTTG